TGGGGAGAATGGCGTCGAATTCACCGAACCGGATGTAACCCCGGTATGTAGGCTAGGGGTCGGAGAGAGACCGCCTGCGCCGGGATGTTAAGGCACAGCGGTGAGGTGTGCCGGGCCCGCGGCATCTCGAAGGATTTCCCGTAGTTCCGCGGGACCGGAGGTTACTCGCGGGGCGTCGCCCGGGCCGGCGTTCGGGAAGTGACACGGACGCCATCTGTCAGTCGCTATGGGCAATTGCGGTAGAGGGCAGCACCCGACGGTGCGCGATGGCGGCGCGGGCGCCCGCGACCGGCCGGCAGATGACTGTCTGCCGCGATGTGGGTGGACGGAGCAGTCCACCGCTCGTGGCCCGCCAGCAGGTGGGTAGCCCGGCGCGGCCGTGACAAGGACGAGGAGCCAGACGACCGCAGTCCTGCTTTTACGCAGAAAGACGTTTGTGGGTAGCGCGGCACGAGACAGTTTCGTTTTTTTTGAGACGGCCGACTCGTTTTGTCGTTCCCCACTTGACCCCAGGCGTGACGGCCTAAGGAGGCGTTGGTCATGAAGTGACCTTGGATCCGTGGGGGCCGCCTAGGATGCTCAATCGTGCAGGGCGGTAGCGGAGTCTATCCGTGGTGTCTCCGCCTTGGGAGAGGGCAGGAGTCAGTCCGCTCTCTTCCGACGTGGTGCACGCCGGGCCTTATGAGCGATTGGTGATGGGATGTTCGGGACGGATAGAGATCCCGTCATCGACGCTCATAGGGAAGGCGACGAGGAGTTAGGTCGTCGGACAGGCCGGTCAGGCCGAGTCTCCAGAGCGTGCCGGCCGGGGAGACTGTAAGGCGTGAACGCAGGTCGCACCGGGCGCTCGTCGTCTGCCGAGAGGCCCCACCGTCCCATGAGCGCGCTGTCTGCCTCCAGGCCTCTGAGGGACGCGCTATGGGCGGTGCCTTGCAAAGCCTGCTCCGGCGGACGGGAGGCGAGGGCGCAGAAGCGCCGGAAGCGACGCCTCCGTGCTGGACGAGGCGCCGTCTAAGGCGCATGCGCGGCAGCGGAAAGCTGCGAGCGGTGGGTGCGGCCGTGTGAGTGCGGAGCCGCCCATCGTGGACGGAACGTGGGAAGCGTCGTCCAAATAGGGAGCCGTCACCCTGGAGGTCAGGCGAGGGAGCGAGTCGCCGTTCAGCTTTGACACTCGTGGTCGGCCCAGCAGCTGCGTCGGTGTCAAGCTGGCAAATCATCGTGATATGTTTTGAATGGGGCTTAAACGTGCATTTATGGCAAGACCGAAATGTGATAAGTGAATTAAACTTAACGAGGACCCATGCAGACGGCCAATTATAATGTCAAGGTGCGGGGAAAAAGGGGGGGGGGGGGTCCCACCCGTGTGCGTGCCAAGGAAGAACGAGATGGTGTGGGCGCCAGCGTATGCGAATGCTTGGAATGAGTGTGATGGGCGCCGAGTGCGTGGAGTCTGCGTGGATTAATTAAGGCGGGGGGGGGGGGGGGGGGTCCCATGGTCATTACCTAGTGGGCCCTTGTCAATATAGTTCGCCAGTGCGGGGGACCATTGCCGGTTAGGCGCGTTAGTATGCACGCATTCCCGTTTTTGCCCCATTTAAATGATATCGCTAGCTAAAGGGTGGAGGTGGATACCGTGGTCAAGGGCGCACAGCCATGGGCGGGGAGACAGCCGTTCATGGTGCCTGACCGGATCCGCCATCCCGCCAATGCCCCGGTCACCCGCTTCATCCTAGCTCTGTGGCTCACATGAGTGTGTGTTGACGTCGGGTGTACCGGAGCCACAACGTGTCGAGCCGTGCGCTAACATCATGGAGCTCGTACGCTGACCAATGGGCTCCTCATTATAAATTTGCTCCCGTGGGTTATCAATCGGACCGAAGTCTTGCAGTTCCATTGACATTGTCAGCACGACGTGTTCAGTTCTAAGGGTTTGAATCGCATTATCCGGACTCGTGTGTGAGGTGCACTACACTGACAGACGTATATGTACCGTACCGAAAACGCTGGCCTTGCTTCAGTCTTCGTTTCCCGGGGCTTGATCCGTTTCCTTAGGGTGGCTGTTGGCATACTATCTCGGCAGAGTATGTCTCTGGATGTCAGAGCGATTTCAAGCCTTGCACGTTGGAATTGTACAAGAGGTGCACTACTTTAAGAGGGTACTACGACAGTCCCTCTGCACGACATGATGGCAGCACGTCACGGCAACGGAGTAGTCATATTAATTGAACCCAAGTGTTGTAGTTTAAGCGACAATGTCGTCACGATGTGTTTGGTCCTAATAAGTGTGAATACCATTATCCGGACTCGTGTATAAGGTGCACTACGCTAACAGACGTCAATGTACCGTACCGAAAACGTTGGCTTGGCTTCGGTGTTTGGTTCCCGTGGCTTGGTCCGGTTTTTAAGACTGCTGGAAATGCTTCAGTTCCGCCGACATTGTCGGGTTTTTCTCTGTGCTGTCTGTTTGCAAACATCAATTCGAGACACGAATGTGAAGAATGTCCGAACGGTATGAGCTAGTTTGTGTGCCAAATAGTGAAGATGTAAACACCTCAAACCTCCGTGCTCGCGAGTACCGTTCACATCTCGGCTGTACTTGTGACCTTTGGACGCACATCTCACCTCCTCAGTCGCATGCACCGTTTAATGCCATCAGCCTCACACCTCTTGGTGCCCTTTCACCGCGTTCCATCTATTGAGCGCCATTCAACCATGTCAACGCCAGATGGCGGTATCAACGTCAAATTGGCATAAAGTTTGGAACCCTTCGTCCAGCACCTGCAGCGACAGTGATGGGGCAGCCATGTCTGGGGTGGGTGCGGGGGCTTTCGCCTTCTTTTTCGCCAATCCCCTCACCTTTCTGCCTACCTGATGATGGTGAGCGCCCAAAATTTGTGCCTCCATCATTTTCATTTCTGATACCTTTCCGCCAGCGTACAAGTCAGGGCCAGTAAACAGGTCAGTGTCATTAGAGTCCTTTTGTTGCTAACATCCAAAACGCCCTACGTCAATGTGGCGGCCCGAAGACTTAAGTGTAGGATCTGAGCTCACTTTGTGGCGGCTCTCTTCGACTGACCGAGAGGCTAGAGCTGGGCATTGCGGATGATCCTATTTGAGCTTAACACACATTTGCGTACACCGTCGTCGCGTGGTTACGTAATTACTTCCTTTCTCGAGAAGCGACAGCCCGTTGAGGAGGGTTCGAACTCACTGTCAGTTTGTCCAAGCCACCGCGCACGTCACTCCGGGCGGAGAGCCTGGGCTGGCATGCCAGCCTCGACGTACACCGTGTGGACGACAGGAATGACCGGGAAACAGCATGGTTTTATTTCCACCAAGGTGCTGAAGCGGATACGGGAAACCTTCCGTTGCCGATGTGTTACCAATGCTTGCTAGGTACCTGAAATGTCAGCGCTTTTTGATCGACAGGAAAAACTAGTGATCGACATCGAAAATGAATGACCGATGACAAAATGAATCACCGATGATCCACAGTGCAAAATCAGTGCATGGTGTTTTCATTTATGTGTCCCTGCTGCAACCCTCACGAAGCAGTGAAGCGATGTGTAGTCCAGTGCGGCCCCTTGCTATGTGCGCTTTTTCATATATCAACCATTGCATAAAGGTTATGTGGTAACCTCACGCAAATCCTGTTATTTAGCAGAGTGAAGGTGCTACTGGGCGACTTGAACATTGCCACGACCACAGAAGAAAGCACCCAGTACCCGCCCAGAGTGTACAATGTGGAAAAAGCCTTAAAACATCCGGAATATAAACGGGTTTTCAGAGGAAACGGTCAAGGATTGTTCAATGACATTGCCCTCGTCAAGCTTACGGAGCGCATTTCGATATCCCGTAAGTCATCACTGAATAGCTCACTATTTGCACGCAGGAAACAGCCAAGGGGATCCTAAAGCTATAACGCCTGCTCCAGGGTGGGTGGGGGCGCTGGCATTGCGTGGCCCATTGTTTCATTCAAGTAATCCTAGTTAGCACATTTCAGCCACAAATTGGACGACCCAGCGCACACAGAAACTTATCTCCCTGAACAAATAACCTCTAACCCTGGTTGCGAACATCACTTCCACATTTCAGTGGGGCTGCTGATTTAAAAGACAGTTCGACAACTTTTGCCAATTGCAGTCAATACTGCTATTACGACCTTCAACTTATGACAGATTCGTGTATGACAAGTAACAAGCTTTTCTTGAGCAGCATACCTTGTTATACAAACCTTTCGGTGGTCCGGCAATGACATTCATTTGTAAACATTTTTACTCACCTTTCCGCCCTTTTACTCCACATAAGCATTATTGCCTTTCATGCCATCTGTTAGCCATCGGTGTCGAGGCCTTCCTGCCCCCTCCTCCCCCCATTTCTCTCTCCACCACACTGCATGTGGATTGTGGATGGCCTATTGCGCTCTCATCCTAGCATCACGACATTAGCGGCGTCAACACATGTGTTTGATAGAAGTGTGCAATAGCTTACCAAAAATCGGTGATGGGAGTTCGCCCTTTACCATTGCTACTTCTCACCGTTGATATTCTTGGAGTTACCAACGTGTTTTTCAGCTTGCGGTCACGCATGGTAAGTTTATTCAAGCCTAGGTGTCGAGCCCCGATTTCCTTTTTTGATGTCCTTTATTTCATGCTGGCAACTCAAGCATAGTACCGTCGTGGGTTTGAAGCAAACAAAGAGGCGTCGACCCACGTGTTTTCAGTAAGTTATGTCTGTCTGGTTCTGACTAGCTTGGGTGTATTAATTTCAGAAATTTTGTACCTTGATATATATATATATATATATATATATATATATATATATATATACATATTATCAAATTTCCACCATATTCATACGCGCTCCGTTTGGACATTTTCTTAGTCGTCGTCTATGCTGACCCTGATTTGAGTCACGCCTGCTGATAGTATGACCGATGGCTGCGGTCTGCATCATCGAGCATCGATAGCTTTTTGCAATCGATCTCTCCGCCTACAGCCATGATGAAGCCGCTGTGCATCTCCGATTCCTCCCGCCTCGCCTCCGACCTGGACGGCCAGCAGGTCTACGTCGCCGGCTGGGGCGCGACCAAGTTCGGTGAGCAATGGCCCACTGCAGCCGGGCATGGAGGTGCCGGCAGATGCCGTGGTTGAAGGGCGGAACAGAGCACGGGGTCCCGGTTTGATAACTAGCCGGAGGAAGATGCACGGAGTGGATCTCGAGCGCCACTTGATCTGAGGTTCGATTTTCCGCCTGGCGCAGGTGCACGGCGTAATCCCCAGGCGAGGAAAGACCGCTGTTCTGATTCGAACATTTTATGTGGCCCGTCTCTGTGATGTCTTCGTCCAGCGATTCGGCTCAGCTTGATCAGAGAGAGACGTGTAGCGACGCGGCGATCCGTATTGGACCAAGTCCAGTGGCGTGCTGTCCCTGCTATCCCAGCCAGGCACGACAAAACATTTAGCTCGGGTGAACTTCCACTCATAAGTCAGCTCGCATACACGCACCTATCACGCGTCCCCTACGGTCCGCCGCGGGACGGCGGTCAGCGCCCGCGGCGGTAGGTCGCATTCCACCGCGCGGCCGAGGTCGCGCCGCGACACGGCAGGGTCGGCATGCTGTGCCGCCGGGCCGGCTGGGCGTGCTCACGAAAGGCTCCGACAGCCGACTGGCAACACTCTCATCCCAGTGCTGCTGAAGGTGGCGATAGATGATTAAAAGGCGCTTAGCTTGTGGAAAGCCAAGTCTTTGGGTAGAGCATGCGTAAGAGCTTTGCAGATTTTAGGACTCGAAGAGCTTGGCGGTAAAACCTTGGCAAAAAACGACTTCTTATCGCTGCCACAGGTTTAATAATGCATTCACCATGCTGAATGCGGTGGCCCAGCAGACGTTGTCAGCGCAGGCTCGGTAGCCTGCCGCCGTCCGTGTAGCAGATTATTGTAGTTTTGCTCGCGGGTCATTTTTCAGCCTTTTTCCTTGCGCAATGCTTGGAGCATGAGCTTTTCCGAAGACGGTGCACAAGCATTGATGCTAAATCTTCTGCTCACCGCACATTTTTCTTTTGAATGGCTCTAGCGAGTAAAAAAACTTCTGGGAACGGCTTACGACCGCAAATAAGGGGCTTTTGCCCGAAGCCGTCTTCACAATGCACACGAATGTTACCAACGGGTCAAAACTTACGCAGCCACGTCGCGTGCATTGCAGCTGGGCCCACCGAGGCCTTGATGCAGTGGGCCCGGATCAACGTCACGCGCCACGCTCAGTGCCAGGAGACGTACTCCCGCCAGAACACGGCCGTGGACAACACGCAAATCTGCGCCAACGGCGAGAACGACCTCGGCGGAGTCGACACCTGCAGGGCGGGTGCAAAAACAGGCCAGGATGCCTTTTGTTTGAGGGCTGCACGTGCCAAAAAACTATGACAAACCGAGGGCCTAGCTAGGCTCCACATGGTTTTATGCCTCAAGAAGGGCATGGCTGTGAACCCCACCAAATCATCTTTAACATTGTCATCTCAGTTCAAAGCCCCATACAAAAGTGGAACACTCCATTAAAACATTTTATGATACTTCGCTGGCTCGCATGTACCACTTGACAGCTTCTGGTATTCTGAAATGCCAACAAACGTGCGCTAATTCTGCTGTGCTCTCGTGCTTCGGCTGTGACATGATACCCCGGTCACCGGTCGGGGAACTCGGTCCGTGTGACGTCTGACACTCTGGCGTCGGCAGGGCGACAGTGGGGGTCCTCTGATGGAGCGTCGGAACCACAGGAACCAGGAAACCTCGTACGCCGCGGGCGTCGTCTCCTTCGGCTCCGGCTGCGGCAACGTCAACTTCCCGGGTGTCTACACCCATGTGGAGAGCTTTCTCGACTGGATCGGCTGCACGGTGGCGAAGAACTGACCACCTGACGATAGGGTGGCGGGGGGGGGGGGGGGGGGGGCGGCAGGAGCAGTTCTGCAATAAAGCGTGATGCGGCGCTGGAACGTCCCTGTTCAGTGCAGAGGCATCCTCGTGTGGCGATGTAGCGTGCTTCTATTAATGCTTAAGAGTCCCTATGCGATGCCGAAGTGTCACTGTGTGTAATATTTAGGAGTCCTTGTGTGATGCGAAGAGCACCTGTGCATTCGGCGTCTTTGTGTTTCTCGAGCGCCCTGTGTTTTCTAGGTGTCTTTGTGTTACTGAATCATGCCCGTGTTTCTGAAGTGTGCCTGCATTACTGAAGCGTGCCTGTGTTTCTGAAGCGTCCCTTTATTTCTGAAGCGTTCGACCGACGGACGCTAGGAACTCTGACCCGGCGGGGTGGTCGGCAGGACGATGTTGAAGTGTGCGGCTTGAGTAGAATGTGATGTGACCAGGATGGAGGCCGCAACTTGGCGTCTTTTGAGAACGCCACCGAGTGCTCCAGAGGCTGTGGGCTGCTGTCACCTAACACAGAATTTCTTGCTTTGCTTGGTATTGTAGAAGGATTAGTCGGCAGCATCGATGCTTCCCTCTGGGGGGTCGGGCGCGCTGCTTTTTTATCTGGCTTGATCTGCAATCGTCTTACGCTGCCTTAGATGACAAATATACGCTTCGTTTTAAGATGCCTAAGATTTTCAACCATATATATATATATATATATATATATATATATATATATATATATATATGTCTATATATATTTATATATATTCATATTTGTATACAGTATATAGTATATATATATATATGTATATATATATACATATATATATATATATACATATAAATATAGTTAAAGGACAGTATACAGCGAATCGTCGTGCCATGGATCTGTTGGATACTTGACATCGTCAAGGATCATCGTTGACATCGTCTATGAGAGAAAAAGCAGCTTACGCTCAAAAGTATGGCAAAGACAGCATACCAGTACCTCCTCGCATCCTGTTAAAGTCATCAAAGTAGATTTAGAAGCTTATCACGTATCGCATAGAGTGCTGTCGCTTTTTTAGGCCAGATGGTTCTTCTTGCTGCCCTGTAATTACCTATTCCCCAGGTGAGTGCACATCTTATTTTGGAGACAAAAGCGCTAACAAGATTACGTAGTGCTGTTGTTTATGTTTTCCCATACATGAGATGGAACTCCGTATGGAGGACGTATTTGCTATTCTAAGATCACACTTCGCTTCTCACATTCCTTAAATGAACGTGGTTCAAAAAACGCGACCTCGAAGACCATGAAAATCCAGCCAAGTGGCTGGCTGAATAACCTCTGGGATTCAGCATGCTTCAGGGGAAATCACGAGTTTCGCACATGTCTCGTATTGCATGAGGGCTTCGTGCGCTGACAGCGTACCCATCGCGATACTTCATGAGCTACCAAGGTACACATCCCGATGCCGTGGACGCTGTGCGAAAATGTAGAAGACATGGTGAGGTCAAAAAGACAAAAAAGATTTGTGTCGTGTTATGCTGTGACGCTTATGGTGAACTACTACCCTCAGGTGGACTGAGAAATCATGTTAGTATTTTTTTCATTTACAAGTTTTAAAATCGGATAACGTCGGCTCGCTCTCATGACAAGCAAGGCGTTTGTTTCACACCCTTGGCTCCATTTTCACACAGCGCACAAACAACAGTGCCCTTACGAATCCCGTTGTAACGCTATATAGTATAGCTATAGTATGTAAATATATATATATATATATATATATATATATATATATATATATATACATATAGATAACATGAAGCGAATCGTCGTGCCATGGATCTGTTGGATCTTTGTTCATGATTTGTGCGATAGCACCTCAATGCTGACATTGTCTATGAGAGAAAACGCAGCTCACACTCAAAAGTATGGCGAAAGCAACAAACCAGTATCTCCCTGCATCCTATCGATGTCATCAAAGTCGATTTAGAGGCATAATATGTGTTGCATCGAGTGCTGCCGCTCTTTCAGGCCAGATGGTTCGTCTTGCTGCCCTATGATTGCCTGTTCCCCAGGTGAGTGCATATTTGATTTTGGAAGCAAAAGCGCTGACAAGACTTTGTGATGTTTCTCGATACATGCGACATAACTTATTATGGAAGACATATTTACTATTCTAAGATCACACTTTGCTTCTCACCTTGCTTAAATGAATGTGGTTCAAAAAACGCGATCTCAAAGATCATGAAATTCCAGCCAAGTGGCTGGCTAAATAACCACTGGCATTCAGCATAATTCAGGGGATGTCACGTGTTTGGCACATGCTCGTACTGCATGGGGAACCAAGTGTTGCGTGCGCCGATAGTGTACCCATCGCGACACTTCTTGAGCTACTAAGGTACACATTCCGATGCCTTAGACGCTGTGCGAGAATGTAGAAGACATGGTGAGGTAAGAAGAAAATGAGATGTGTCGTGTAACACTGTGACGCTTAGGGTTTAACGGCTCCGTACATGCGAAAGTCGTCCCAATGTGCGGATGACATTTCCACAGTTAAACTTGGCTGCGAAACCGTTCTGTCAGAGTATGTATGGACTATTTGTGAGATAATCCCAACTTATTGAAAGTTTAAAGAAGTAAGGGTTCGCGGGTCACAGAGACATATGTACAATGACAGAAGCAGAGGTCGTGGTCCCTTGCCGCGCCCTGATAAGTGCGGCCGACCATGGTGACCTGTGATGGCCATGGATAGGGTATACGAGTCTCGACTCAGTGTTCTTACCATGGAGTAAGATTGGTGGCGTCAGTCAACACACAGACCCATCACACAAACAGACATGAAGTTGTTGAATAAGCGTGCTCTGACCAGAGAGTGACCTGCATGTATGCAATAGCATCAAGTGATCGTTTCAGTGATCTGCTCTACCGCTAGGTCCGGATATTTGTGTTGCAGTGCAGTTACGGCATGCACAATTTAAACATTTGTTTTGCCCAAACACAACCGTGTTTCCAGAATGTGTCCAGTCGTTAGGTTCCAAAATGTCAAAAATGCTGACGAGCAACTATCAATGCCAGGACATCATGACACTGAGAGTTACCGCTGGTCCAGATGCTTGTCGCCGCCGTTGTGGCCATGGCTACCGCCGCCCCGACCGTAGCTACGGTGCCCTCACCTACGCCCAAAAGGCGTGCAAGATCCTGAAGCAGGACGTTGTGTTCCGTAAAGACCAGTCCCTACGAGTCGCAAAAAGCAATCCTTTTGTAACGCTCACGTCCAGAGCATTATCTGTAATAGAAATAAAACACCGGAAAACGTTTTTTGTATTATCTATTGCCAGCAACAATTAGTGCACAGGGTGATGTTAGAAGATTGTTCTTATCATCAAATTATTTTTTTATAAATCTATTCCGTATGGTTTGCATCGGTGACTTCTGGTTCCGAGTACCTGCCAAGCATAGCTTGTTGCGTGTACCCTGAACCCACCACCCAAGTCGTGCCGTCCAGTTCAACGAATGATTTTGCCTCCGCCCTTTTGTCAGACAGGATTGCGGAGGCTTATGCGTGTCGCACATTGCTGCGGCAGGGCCACCCCGGAACTGGGTTGGCCCTCGTTGGCCAGTTGTCAGCTGACCTTTCCACTTCAGGCAATGCGCCCACTCTGGTCCTTGTTCCCAGTGCCGCTGGATTACAAGTCAAGCAGCTTTCCCCTAGACAACGGAGGCGGCACGATCTGTAGGTGATTCAATGTTTCACTCATATTTATTTCGAAGCTTTGAGACTGGAAAGTGCATCTACGTCTCCGAGTCTGGCAGGCCGGTGGAGGGATACGGCGATGAGGAGAGTCATAACGTCAACGGCCAGTTCAGCTACACCGGTCCCGACGATGTCGTCCACGAGGTCGTCTACGTGGCCGACGCCAACGGCTTCCAGCCCCAGGGTGACCACCTGCCCACCCCCGTGCCCACCGATTTCCCCACCCCGGAGGTGTCTGATGATGAGGAGGAGGGGCACGAGGCGCCTGGGCGATGATGATGACGATGATGAGGCTCCCCGCACTTACTACCAGCCCCAGCCTCAGTATGAATGCGTCATCGTCAGCTAAAGGCTCCGCTAGAATTAAATCTTTGTGATGTTATCCTTGTGCTCAATATTCCATTACATGGGATCGACACGCTTGTTTAGGAGCGCCTTTCAAGCGAACCATTATAGGTCTTTACAAAAAATGCGATGGCAAACCTTGGCAACCGATGGCAAATTCCTTGCCGGCTTATTCCTAGTAGTCTTGGTGAAACGCCTTGTTTGGCATCGAGTGAGCTGGGTGATAACAAAGATAAGCCTTTTCACGTGAGATAATAATACAAAGTAGAATGAAGAAAAAGTGAGAGGAAAGAGAAGTGAAAGGGGAGGGCTGAAGTATCACGCGGTTTGGTGCTGGGCCGCGCGAAGAGATCAGCTGGTGGGTCAAGAAGTGCGAGGGATTTGGTAAATACGGCTGACGTTCTGCGTTTTAAAGGTTTAGCACGGACGCGAGGCTGAAGGTAATTTGGCCAGGCGGTGAAAGGGCACTGGCGCCCAATGTGGCATCGCACGGTGTTCGAGGGCGTTGACGTGCGCTTCGGCACGACGGCTGGCTCGATAGCCGGCGCCGAGGCTGTCTCGATTTTGCCGTTGGAGGCAGCCACATGGAGGCGCAGCGGCTCATCATGTCCCTCGCCAATCCCACGTCGCGGCCAGGCACGGCGTGCCGACCACGCCGGTACATCCATGAAGGTGTCCTTCGGCTGTGGCGGAAGTCTGCTGGCTGGTTGGACGGTCTGTTTGTTTTTCCTTTTTAATTTAATTTCAATTTAATTTTAAGCCCTGATTTTTGCACATGCACGGACGGACTGACGATCCGCTGTCTTCTCACCACTCGTTATCAGTTGCTTCGCCCAGGCCGATTGTCTGGTTGGTCATATGACGTTCGTGCATGCTTAGCCTCCTTTTCCGTCAAGCTAATCGTTTGCCTTTGTTCCCTCCCTTGGTTTTTAAGGTGTGGGGGGGGGGGGGGGGCGTGGGCG